CTATAGAATAGGTGGGCAATATAAAAAATAAGCTTTGCTAATAATTAGTAATCATTAATTTTTTAATATCAGAGTTGTAGAGTTGGTAGAGTTTACCTACCTATTCTATAGAACATCCCTAAAATCAGATGTAATATTACACATTTAGAAAGAATCAAAACAAATATTTATTTTGCTAAAATTGTCTCTAACTTAAAATTTCATATAAGAAACTACTTTTTGGATTCTAACAAAAAAAATTTCTTGTTAAATTTTAATAAACTATAGCCTTTTCTAAACCCTAGCCTCATCTAATTCTAATCTTAAATTGTACAATTCTATTCTTATAGAAAAGTTGTTTTGATAGTTACATTACATCTAATCTTAGTTATGGGTTACAATAATCTACAATTACAAAATGATTAATCCTTATCAAAAAATATATTGTTAAAATTAATATTTAAAATTTTATTAAACAAATAAAGTTTAAAAAAAAGAATACAGACAAATTTGCCTATATTATAATCTAAAGGATAATATATAAAATTATAAGTAATTTTAAACATCTTTTACAAAAGATGCATATTTCTACAAATTACTTAATAATGAGTTAAAATTTAGTCAGAATTTAGTATAATATAACATAATTACAAAAATCAAAACAAACATTTGTTTTTTTATTTTTCAAGCATTTATATAAGAAACTATTTTTTGTGCTTTAACAAAATTTTTTTAAACAATTTTACTATATATATCATTAACTCTAATACAAACTCAAATTAAATGTAGTATAGTTTACCCTTTTTAAAAAACATATTAAAATTAGTCATTTTATATAGTTATTTTATTATATTTATATTGTAATTAATATTTTAATTAATATTAAAAACTAATTTAAAATTTTCTATTATACTGTAAAGTAATTTATTTAAATATTTTTAAAGATTTTATTAAGGGGTAAGCTATATTACATTTAATCCACAAACTCTAACTCTACCTTAAACAAATTTGAAATATAACTTATATATATTCTGTGAAAGATGTCTATAATTTCTCTAAAATTATTAATTAAATAATAAAAACTTCTATTTACAAGTTAAAAAATAATTTCAATATTTTAATTATACTATAATATTTTATAGTGTGATTAATTTTACTGTATATAATTAAACAAAATGATCTAAAAAAATAAAAAACAAATTTAAAAATAAATAAATTTAAGAAATTTATAGTCTTTTCTTTAATAAAATTTAAATTAAAACTTATTTAAACAGTTAAATATAATTAAAAATGGCTAAAAATAATTTGCTAAAATAAAACCATTATTAAAACTTTAAATTAGTAAGATAATGCAAAATTCCAACTCTGTATGTTTTGATTTTGAAATCAAAGCCAAATAAGTATAAATTTAAGAATAAGATTTTCTGCGATACTTTTAATACACAATGTGAAATAATATGACAGAAACCAAAATTGAAAAATTCGGCAAACAATAATATAAAGAAAATATACACAATGACCAATTTATTTTAAAAGAATCCTAAACGAACGAAAAAGCATAAAATGATTTAACTTTCGAACGTGACATCTTTTTACCTTTATAGTTAGAACTTAAAAGTTATCGAGTCACGCAAAATTAGGGCCCGTGAAAAAATTACGTTTTCAGTGGTGTCATGAGTTATAATAAGTGTTATCGTCATCGATTGTGCCGTTATCGTTATACCGTATAGCCGCATCATGATGATTAAAATTGATTAATTAAAATTATATATAATTATTAAAATTAACACGATATCGATATATACAGTATAAAACATAAATGTAACTATAACATATATAAAACAGGTACGTACGGCAATTTCATGTGCTTGACAATACGACATATGATTGGAGAATAAAAATAGTAAAAATAGAAAGCGTATATATATTTATAAATAAATAACCGAATGGCAATTTTTTTGTACAATATTACGGTGATTAGATTAGATGTACATTGAATAGCTAATCACGACAATCACACGGATGAACCCTAAATTGGATGGATACTAAAGAAGTTAGTTTCTGCAATAATATAAATTTATAAAGACAGTAAAGACAATGCGTTTTCAATTGCAGACGCAGTCGGTAAATGCACTTCTGAGGGTAGAATCAGGGAAGTGTATCACTTCTGTTAAATCCACAATCCATGATTAGACGTTGTTTAATAAGACTGGAAGTAACAGATATCTGAAACGGGAATTTATTAATGATGTACCTATTTTACTCATTTCTTTGTTCTCCTGTCACACACAAAGAAACTCAATTCGTTGAAGGATATTGTTCGATTCGCAAGTAATTTGCTTGTCAAAAGATCTAGGTCGTTACATCTATTTTCTACCAATTATATAGGTTATTTTATTATTATTATTTTGCACTATATATGTTCTATATATTTTCTTTACGATTTTCCAATACTTTTTTGATCACAAGTCGATGATATTCTTGCAGGGCTATAATTGTATACCAATTATGAATTATTCCACTAAAATCTTTTATACTTGCATGATATTATGATGTCAATTGCAGAAATGTTGTCTTTGAATCTAAAGTTAGGGCTGAGAATACAATTTTCTATTTAACAAGTTCCCATCGAATTTATTAGGCAAAAAATAATGATATTATAGAGTTTATTTTACAATAGATGTTATAGATGTTATACGTAGATGTTATAGATGTTATACGTAGATGTTATAGATGTTAACAGAAGACTTTTACGTACGTACGTACGTACAAGATGCATGATTACTCAATGACTCAAATTTCCCTTTATGGATCCAGAATCTTTTTTCAAAGATTGAATTTTTGTACTCCCGCCCCGAAAGGACGCAATAAATATGTTTCCTTAGACGGGATTAGCCAAGAATATATCTCCGACTTGTACTATGACAATTTGTACAAAAAAGATACCCCCCTAAATTTGGTCCTAATTTGTTAATATTTTTAGATTACAGGTGATACTATAAGTGTAAGTGAATTATATATAAATAGACCTCATCGTAAGTGTCACCCGTTCATAATGTTCAAAAAAAGATATTATTTATATTTTTATCTCTAATGTACTATTCTTAACTAAATTTTAAGCAAATTCATACTTTTTGTTCCTCTTGAATACCTACCCTATCAAGTTTTATTATAGTTTGTGGTAAAAAAAGAACAAACTTTCACAAACGCGTCTATCAAATTTCGGCCTCGAGCTCTTGAAAAAAATTTTTTTTTCCTATTATCGTTTTTTCTGAAATTTTTTTTAAATGTAAGTAATTTTAAGAAAATTATCGTCTTTTGGTCTGTTTTTCCTTTTTTTTTCTCCTCTACGACTTTTCTAAAAAAAAAAAAAATAAAAAAAAAAAAAAAAATAAAAAAATACAAACAAATATTCCTAGCGAATTTTGAAATCCTGAATTCGACTTTGCATTCGAATGTTGGCCCTATATGATTTTAATTAATTTAAAAATAATGTTAAAATTATCATTTTTCTCCCCTTTTTTTATTTTTTTCCATAGTTAAAAAAAAATCAAAAAATCATGGGTCGCAAGAAGATTCAAATAAAACCCATTAAAGACGAAAGAAACCGTCAAGTAAGTATATAATCATAGTGAAATACGGAATTTTCGTCAATTATTGTCAATTATACATCGTTTAATCAAATTCATTATGTGTTTATTAATGGAAATTTTACCTTAATTGTATAATTGTATCAGGTGACTTTTTTGAAGCGCAAGTATGGACTTATGAAGAAAGCTTACGAACTCAGTGTTTTGTGTGATTGCGAAATCGCGTTGATTATTTTCAATTCAAACAACAAGCTTGTTCAATACGCGAGCACGGATATTGATAAAATTTTATTGAAATACACGGAGGTATATTTTCGTGCAACTTGCTGCGCTTCTTAAGATTGTAATTTATCTATCGTGATTTATTATTAAACTGCTATAAATTTTTGTTATTATAGTATAATGAACCTCATGAAAGTAAAGGCAACCACGATGTAAGAATTTTTTCCTCATATTATAATAATAATAATATTCTTTACTTACAATTTTTTTTTTTTTTTTTTAGTTTGCCAATACTACGGAGGACGATGATAATCCTCCGCCAGGATTTGATACTACTACTGATCACAAGGTTTGTTTCTTATAAAGTAGATAACTCATGCTAATATGACTAATTTTAAATAATTTAACTAAACATAACACATAATATATGTTTATAATAATAGCGATTCGGTATGCCATCTCCACATCAATCTTACCAAGCAGCACAAGTTCCTGGCCCGTATTCTATGGGTAATTACGCAATGTTCACGCAGTCTCAACATCAACAATTCATGGTAAGAAAATTTGTCATAATTAATACATATATATATGTGTATATATATTTTATTCAATAAATTTTTTTTAATCAAAATTTAACTTTTGTTAATTTATATAGGCCCAACAGTTTTATCCTCAAATTAATCAACAATCTATGGATGCTATGTCTCTGCCGATGACTAATGTAGCCCTTCAAGTGCCTGTTAGCGTCGCACCTAGTGTGGCTGTCAATGTACCTACAAGCATGTCATCGCCTCAGCTGCCAGATTCTAACGCGTCAAGTCTGACCATGTCACCAACTCCATCCCAAATTGAGGCTTCAATTAATGGTGACATCTTATCTCCTTCACTTTTAGCTTCATCTCCAAAGAAACCAAAACTTCGCGTCCATATTCCTGAAACGAACGAAAAACAGGGCGTTCCTGCAGCTCAACAGGCGGTTCAAGCTGATGTATCACCAAATCAAGATGAAGCGCCTTCCGATCCGCAGCAATCACTAACATTACAACCTGTAAGCTCTTTATATAATAGTCAAAATATATCGATATATTTATCAAGATTAGGATTATTGGCGCAAGCAAAATTTTGGTGGCATGCCATTAATTTATATAGTAATTTGATAAAATTTTTTTGCGTCAATAACCCTAATCAAGATATCATTATGATTTGATCTGTGATCAAGTCATTCAATTATATTGGATCAAAGATCGTTGTGAGGGATATGTCATTTATGTTTTGTTTTCACCTTATATTTATTGACCATATATTTATATACAATTTAAGTTACAGACATCTCGTCCAACTCCGACTACTACTGATACGGGACCAAATTCTGGCTTGGCATCACAATTCTCTCACAGTTTGCCGTCGCCGTCAACATTCTTCTCAGAATTTTATAAAACGGCCGAACTACCTAGTCCGATTACTTTTAGCAGTACACCTACTAGCGCCAATCCTGGAGCATTTCATTGGCCGATTCCTCGGAATTATCAACATCAGCCTTCACCATTGGCTAAACATGAATCGAATTCTAATTTACCAAAAAACCGTCCTATACAGACGGATGAAGAAGAAAATAATGAGCCTGAAAGGAAAAAGATGAAACAATAGAGTAATTCAACTTAATTAATTCAATTAATTCAATTTAATTCAAGTAATTCAATTAATTCAAAGGATGAAATATAGTATAGGATAAGTGACAACCTTAATCAAAAATCAATTGAAATAAATAATCAATTGATTTAGAATAGGGTTTCATCTATACTATATTTTATTCACTAAAAGATTGGACATTGACTTTTAATATCGTTAAACAAAATCGGTCGAAAAAGAGTTGGGACTTTGAACTATGGTTATAAACAATTTTTCTCTTTTTTTTTTTTTTTTTTTTCTCTTTTTATTTGGGGGTTTGGTTACGTGTGGGTGGGTTAACGTGTGGGTTAACGTGGTGAGTCAAGGATTTTTTTTTTTTCTTTTTTTTTTTTTTAAAAAAAAAAAAGCAATTATATTCTTAAAATTTTTTCTCTATTATATATGTACGTATATATATAAACCTTTCACCTTTCATCGCTTTTACATCCACCTGTATTATAATGAATCCCTTTCTTTTATAATATATACCTTTTTTATGTCATGTGTCATATTTCTATGTTATTATTTTTTTTTCTTTTTGCGTCAGGGTTAAATCAACCTTTTTTAATCAAATTTATCAAATTTATCAAATTTATCCAATAATAAGCAATTTTTTATGTAATTAGTATACGTCGACTTAAATCGGCTTGGTAATATCCCTGTCGATTTAATTCGAAACCCTAAAACCGTAACAAACCGTAACATAATTATATTTTTCTCTGACGGACATTTATAACTAGTTTTTTAAGTTACTAGGTAAAACAAAAATATATATACTTGTTTAATTAATAAAAATAAAAAAAAAATTTTTTTTTTTTTTTCGTGCATTTAAGTTAATCTTAACATTAAATGATGGGAATTTTTTATTGTCATAAGTGAACGGATTTAGATCTACTGTACTTTAAAATATTAACATGAATTTTTTAAGTTTTTTTTTTAATGACGTAAAAGACTTGCAAAGACCCGCATATGCCACTTAACTAAATTTATATCCGTTCATTGACCAGTATAAAGCAAAGTTTTTTTAATGTTGAAAGTATGTTAAAAGTATGTTAAAAGTAATTACCAATTACGTATTAATTTATTTATGAAATATTATATTCATAACACCGTGTTATTATAACACCCTATATGTCTTACTTAGGGTTAGGGTCCGGTTTTAAGATACATAGTGATTTTTTATTATACAATATATATTAGACATAAGGTCCTAATAGGTTCCAATTTCAGTTCTCATGAGGTTTTCAGGGCGCTGATCATTTTTACTTAGAGTACCTACACCCATTTACTTAGATATTGCAAAAGGTGTTATATAACACGGTGTTATGAATATACTTTCCTTTATTTATAATTAAAAAATCACGTGGCAAATAGAAGAGATTACTCGGCTCAAAACTCACCCATTGATTAGCCAAATAAGAATTACACAATTTACAAGAAAATGAATGATAAGACTGCATACGTACGTACGTACGTACGCACATAGTAAAAAAAACCCCCATATTTGAAGAACAAATATACGTATGTTTGAATTAGTTGATATGTTTGAATTATTTGAAACATAAATTGTCGGAAACAACCTCCGACATCACCATTTGGGGTGCATCTTCATTCGGGAGTTTCAAATAGTAACATTTCCGAATATGCGACATACATATGACGTACGTACAGACGTACGAACAGACGTACGTACGTACATACGTACGTACGTACGTACGTACGTACGTTACTCACATATCAGATATCCAATATTGTCGGAATTATTATCATTATATTGCTATACTACTACTGTACTACGTATTATTATATTACTACTTTTGATATTACTACACTTCTATGCACACTACTATGTACACTATATACTATGTACACTATTATGTCACTACTATGTACTAGTATGTCACTACTATGTACTAGTATGTACACTACTATGTACTAGTATGTACACTACTATGTACTAGTATGTACACTAGTATGTACACTAGTATGTACAATATTATCTATACTATATAGTATGTATAATAGTATGTATACTATATAGTTTCTAATTGTTTGGGAAATGAAAAGAGCTTGCTGCGCAAAGACGTTTCTGGAGATAATATCCCTATTCAATAATCATATTAGGCCGTAGTATCACATAATTTAACCAAAATAGTGGTTATAGATATTTCACTAATCCATAAGAATACCATAAGAATAATACATGTGCAGTTCAGATTCCGGAATTGGACTAATATAAAGGGCCCGTCAAGTCTCATGTTCAAAAAATCAAATTTCAAGCTTACGAATACAAAATGTCTGATATTTTATCTACACCACAAACTACCCAACTTGAAGCTATTCCTGTCGATCTAACTCCTTTGGATATTCCAGATTATAAAAATATTTGTGCTTTCACGATTGATAATGTATGTACTCCTGAAGAATGTGACGCTCTAATCAAACTTTCTGAAACAGACGGTTATGAAGCAGCATTAGTAAATATTGGTGGGGGTCAACAACAACTAATGACTGATGTACGTAAAAGTTCACGTTACATTAGGGATGATGTTAAACTTGCTTCAGATTTATGGTCACGAATATCAAAATTTGTGCCGGCTACTTGGTCAAAAGAATCATTTCCTGTTATTGGGTTAAATGAAAGATTAAGATTCTTAAGATATGATCCTGGAGAACGTTTTAAACCACATCAAGATGGACCTTATCAACGTCCGGATGGATCAGAAACAACTTTTGTTACTGTACAATTATATTTAAATGATGAAGGATTAGAAGGTGGTGAAACTTCTTTTTTAAACTTTACGGGGAATAAAGTCAAAGTTACTCCGAAAACTGGAATGGTACTAGTTTTTGAACATCTCTTGTTTCACGAAGGTTCTGAAGTCCTGAAAGGAAGAAAATATGTTATAAGAACTGACGTCTTATATAAAACTGATAAATATCGTAAAATCATAAATTGATATAAATTATATATTGTATAGCTCGATATTATCGATATTAATAAAAAAAATTATCAGATTTATTTTTATCACTGTCGTCATATTTTTAAATGTAACTTAACCGTTTATCGTTAAATAATAATTGATATAAAGATAATTGTTTGTTTACTTCATTAAAAACTTGTATAGAGTAAGTAAGGTATGTAGGTACGTGCATGCAGAAGTAAACATATATATACATGATATTTACATGATATTTACATGATATATATATGATATATATATGATATATATGATATATATATACATGGTTATACTTACATATCTTACGTATGTACCAGCTTATGTACCTAGGTCAAGTAACCTTGAATAAACCAGATCCAGCGCCCAAGGGTTTGTCTACTAACCTGATTTGTTGATTGTTCTTTGATTTCATCAGTTCACTATGACTTGATGATCGACAACCCTATATTATTTATTGATATCCAAAATCGATTAAGTTTATAGGACACATTGTTGTTCATTCAATGTCTATCATTGATTCCATATCCGATTTTGGATCTTTCCCTCGTGTATCTTTTTATCCTCAGGTCGATGCGTACTTGTATTACAATTTTTAAAGGCATGACCGATGATGGTGGCTGTGCTTTTGTTTAAATTACCGCCAAAAGAAAAGGATGTGGATGTACAGTACTAATCCTGTAATCACACCATAATGACCATAGTGATTTTAACACTACCATAGTGCTATATAAGCTTAATGAAACTTTGTTCTGATAACCTTAGCATTTATTATACTACA